TATTATTATTATTATTATTATTATTATTATTATTATTATTATTATTAGTAGTAGTAGTAGTAGTAGTACTAGTACTAGTAGTACTGTATTTACAAATGATACTGAAAAGTGTGGTGTGTAAGAGTAATCGGCTCCCTTTTCTGTAACCAATATTCCTTCAGAAATAGCTTTAATGATTACAAATGGCTATGGAGTCCACCCGTGTGTAAACTAATGTCAAATACAAATACAGCAGCTAGTGACAGCCTCAGGTCGGTGAAAATAGTTGGTTTCTGTGATTAGATGACACACAGGCTGACTATTATGCCATTAGCAATCATCAGGAAACTTATGAAGACTAGAAGTTACTCTCTGATTTAAGGGGGCTGAACATTTGTGCTCAAAATAGTTTTCAATTTATAAAAAAATTACAAACCTTCAAATCATGTATAATTTTCTTTCCACTTTACAACATAAAATTTCAAAGAAAGATATTTATGTTCTTAGTTGTACCGTGTCAAAATTTGAAAACTGTTTTCACAGTTATAAATGTGGAGAGTGACAGTTTATATATATATATATATATATATATATATATATATATATATTTTTTTTATGTGTTTTAGGTTCCCCTCATATGAGCATCTGAAGGCGTTTTGGAACTTGATCGAGGCAGCAACAGCCAAAATGGTCAGGGTCACCAGAGCAAAGAAAACCGACGTCATGAGTACAACAACTGAAACCCCTTTTACCAGACCAACTGTAAGTTACACACACACACACACACACACACACACAATGAGAATGCTGGTTTTGAACTAACATTTAAATAATTTTCTGTCCAGAAACTGCTGCCAATAGATGAGCTTTTTCTTTTCCTCTCCTACCTGTCTACTGGATGTACCCAGAGGGAACTGGGCCATCGATTTAACATCCACAGAGCAACAGTCAGCCGCATTATTGTGACATGGGCCAACTTCCTGTACTGCTTATTGGGCTCAATTTGTGTGTGGATGTCTCCTGCAGCTGTGAGTTCCAGTCTTCCACAGGATTTTGATGGCCGCTACAGTGACACACAAGTTATCCTGGACTGTACAGAACTACGGTGTCAAACACCTTCATCCCTGCTCCTCCAGAGTGAAGTCTTCTCCACCTACAAATCCCACTGTACCTTTAAGGCCATGGTGGGCATGTCTCCTCACGGAGCCCTGACATTTGTGTCAGCACTGTTTGAGGGTTCCATGAGTGACAAGGAAGTGTTCCGTCAATCAGGGATTACATCACTCTTGACACTGGACATGGCCATCATGGTGGACAAGGGATTCTTGGTGGATGATCTCGTACCTGGGACTGTTCATCGTCCTGCCTTCCTCTCCAAGAGGGCCCAAATGTCAGAGGTCGACGTTTTGAAGACCCAGTCCATTGCCCGTTTGAGGGTGCATGTTGAGAGGTTAATAAGAAGAGTTAAAGAAAATAAACTCTTTGATTCCACTATCCCTCTCTCCATTGCAGGAAGCATAAACCAAATTTTTACAGTTGCCTGTCTCCTGTCAAATTACCAAAATGGACCTTTGGTCAGGAAATGGAGATATGAAGTTTGACAGAAAAGCTGATGGCACAGTCTTGAAGAAACAGAAAATGCTGTCATTTACTTACATTGACATTGTCTTACATTTGTAAATAGATATTCATGATGGAAATATTTTGAAACAAATTTGTACATTTGATTTGATCAAACTCCTAATTTAGACATTTCTGCAGGTAAACATAGAAAAAATATCTGTCTACTTTGTGTTTGATTGAATCCATCACATTAGTGTCTGCATAAATTCTTTGAATAAGAATATCTTCCTCAGCTGAGACAACAAAATCACACCAGTTCATCCCAGTTATTAGCATCTGCCCCTGAACCTGCCAATAGTAAACATGAGTTTTTTTTAGTTCCAATTTGCCTGACTTCATTTGGAGATATGGACAGTCAACATAACTTTTCACATTTGGACACTTAATCTCAATCAGCCCGAACTGACATGGCTCAGAAGGATCAAAGATCAATCCGTCTGGAGATGCCCCTAGCCAAGGAGCATCAGGGTGAATCACAAATCCACAGGGATAGTGGTTGACTCTTTTAATTTGACAATATTCCCAGATAGCATCTGCCTCTAATTCAAGCCCTCTCTTCATAGCTGCAGTCTGATAGGTCCCTTGCAGCAGACGATTTGCCAGATCTTCCTCAGATTTATCTTGAACCTGGCAGATCTCCCTGAAGCGGGAGGCAGTCAACCTATGCCTCCTTAGCTGATGCCATTCAGGACATGTACTCTGTGCTCTGGTAGCACATTCAAATTTATTCACCATGTCCCAGGTGACCTCCATACTTTTAAGGTGTAGCTGTTGTGGTTCAGAACAAACAAACATGCTTTTTGATGGCTGTAGGTGGTAGTTCTTAAGAGGCAGAGATGGGCGGGGTGGTGCAGCATGGAAGGACATGTCTCTCTTTGCTGTTGCTGGCTGTTGGTAGGACAGAGGACTTCCAGCCTGAACTTTGCCAAGGGCAGAGTCAACAAGGGGAAATTCATGGCTGATTCCCATGCTGCAGATCATTGGTGCATCAGCTGCTGCAAAATCTTCATACACCTCGGAAACCTGGGAAAGTGAAAACAATTATTTCAATAAAATGTAAAATACATGTATATCAACTAATTTTAAGCCCTCAAAAATTCTACACTTTACAAAGAGACAGCACTTGAAAATAAAATTATTCAATACACCGGTAAGTCTACAACTCTTTGTTAGTACATTGTAGCCTACTGTTAATTTCATTTTTATTTATCAGTAATTTAAATACAACTACTTACTCTAAGGACAGAAAGGTCCGGCAAATCCCCACTAAGGCCTTTGTAGAGTGTGCTCCTGTGTATAAAAATAAGAAAAGAACATGAGTCAAAAATAGAATACCCACATGCATTTCGTTCAGATATGAAACATAAAATAATAGTGTTTTTCAAGCCTGGTCCTCAAGGCACACTGTCCTGCATGTTTGAGATTTGTCCCTGCTTAAACACAGCTCATTTCAGTTGGTAACTGATTAACAACTGTATCAGCTGTGTTAATGCAGGGAAATCTATAAAGCATGCAGAGCAGTGTGCCTTGAGGACCAGGGTTGAGAAACACTGTTGTAATACATCAGAATTTTTATTGATTTTTTTTTACCTTACACCCTCTGTTGTTGCTCCACTCTTCGGTTTAGCAGACAGCACAGTCATCTTGTCCACGGGGCCAGGTTTTATACCCTATTCAGTTATCCATGACACAGTTACAAGTTATACGGCAAGAAAATGTAATAAATTGAGTCTATTATTGAAGAGAAAACTTACTAAAGTTCTGGGCTTGTGCCACTGCTGTTCTCCTTCTGTACAGCTTAGTACAGGGGGGACCACTGACAGTTTCAGCTCAGAATAATGTGCTGACTGGAACAGCAAAGCCACACAGTGGTTGCATAATGCTGCACCAGCAACACACGTACAGCTGTGGTGAATCAGCTCCACAGGACACGAGTCTTTCAGGACCACCTGCATAAGAATGTCATAGTAAGAACTTATTATCTTAGCTTGGTCACTCATCAGCCATTCTTTCATGATGCAATCTTGCTTCCCAAATATTTTTTTATAACTAATGTCATAGAACCATAGTATCATGTTATGTGATTATATATTTAGTTTGGAGTATGTTCTATGAAGGTCAAGAGTAGTGTAATACAATTATCACAAGATTACATCTTAAATGAATGGATGAGATAAAGATAACTTGATTTCAAAACACTTTTAACCCAGAGGAGACCCGCTAGGTAAAAATACCTGGATAATGTTACAGAGACTGTGAGTGTATTCTTTAGATTTAAGTAAAACTAATATGCATGAATTACCAAATTAACACTGGGTTAAAAGTAACACATAACAACCATAAAAGAAGAACAATGCATGCAGCAAATAACCAAATGGGGACAAGCAAGGCCAAACTCACGTGTTAATATTCATCAAATAGCCAATTCCATTTTATTTTTATTTAAGAATTAATTACCACCTTAGCTAAATCCCCATTAACATTAGGAACGTCGGGTTACTGAACCAACAATCTTAAAACTGTCATCTGAACAATCCTATCTTCACCCTACACTTAAACTGTGAGGTTTTTCATTTTTCTTCATGGACCTGTGACACAGAGCCCTGACAACGACTTCACCTGTGTCCTGATTTTTGCTAGAAACTGAGAAGAGCAGAATGTTAGTAGAATGATCACAAAATATGAGCCTTTTGTTTAAGTGTGGAAAACCTGTTTCTATAACGTGAGTATACACAAAAATGGTCGTGTTGCTAATAGCCTAACGTTAGCTGCAAACAGTTAGCAACATCACAACGATCAAACTAACGTTACTTACCCTCGTAGTTGTGCAGGTAACTTGAGATATACAATTTAAATCCCTTGTTACGTTTGCTTGTCGGAGCAGGGGACCAGCCATCAACAATACGATGAACATCGCTGATATTTATCTTGGGCAGCTCTTGTAAACATCTAGAAAACGCCATTTTCACCGAGACCGGGGATTAGACCGGAAACTGGAATGCCGACATCCGGTCAAAGGGGAAGTGATTCAGGACGCATGTGCACAGAGCCTATTGCTGCTAGATTGTTGAGAGAAGTTTCTCTTGGAGGATGTTTTGATACCATCCCATTGATACTATTGGGACAGCTGTGGCTGAGTGGTTAGAGCAGTCGTCCTCCAATGGGAGAGTTTGGGGTTTAATTCCACCAGAAATCACATGGTGAAGTGTCCTTGGGCAAGACACTGAGCCCCTCATTGTGTCTGATATGTGTCCCATCGGTGTATGAATGTGATCTAAAAACACTGATTAATCTCTATAGAATAATTTTTTCAAATTATCTTTGTAGAGATGTAGTAAAGTGCTGTATGAATGTGTGTGTGGAGGTAAATGAGGGCACAGATTGCGTTGTAAAGCACTTTGAGTATCTTGATTAGATAGAAAGGCGTTCTATACTTTGGGGAAAATATTTGATACAAGGTTCAAGGTGACTTTGTCATTCACATCACGTGTGGTACATGAGGTGGAACAAAATTGTATACACAGGGTTCCATTTACACCCCAAAATACACTGCAGATTATGCAATTCTTCCCACCTACAAAAAATGGAGAGGTCTGTAATTTTTATCGTAGGCACACTTCAACTGTGAGAAACGGAATCTAAGACAAAAATCCAAAAAATGACATTGTATAAAAATCACATTGTATAAAAATCACATTGTCATAACAAACAAAGACTGAACTTGTGCAACCAAAAGTTGCAACATACAGTATATCTACATATAAAACACACAAAACAAAGCACAACTAGCTTTAAGCATTAACCTTTAGTTATTAAGTATTTAAAGTAATTATGACAAAAATGGAGGATTTACAGTGCCTTGTAAAAGTATTCGGCCCCCTTGAACTTTTCAACCTTTTGCCACATTTCAGGCTTCAAACATAAAAATATAAAATTAAAATTTTTGTGAAGAATCAACAAGTGGGACACAATCGTGAAGTGGAATGAAATTTATTGGATGTGTCAAACTTTTTTAACAAATAAAAAACTGAAAAGTGGGGCGTGCAATATTATTTGGCCCCTTTACTTTCAGTGCAGCAAACTCACTCCAGAAGTTCAGTGAGGATCTATGAATGATCCAGTGTTGTCCCAAATGACTGATGATGATAAATAGAATCCACCTGTGTGTAATCAAGTCTCCGTATAAATGCACTTGCTCTGTGATAGTCTCAGGGTTCTGTTCAAAGCACAGAGAGCATCATGAAGACCAAGGAACACACCAGGCAGGTCCGAGATACTGTTTTGGAGAAGTTTAAAGCTGGATTTGGATACAAAAAGATTTCCCAAGCTTTAAACATCCCAAGGAACACTGTGCAAGCAATTATATGGAAATGGAAGGAGTATCAGACCACTGCAAATCTACCAAGACCCAGACGTCCCTCTAAACTTTCATCTCGAACAAGAAGAAGACTGATCAGAGATGCAGCCAAGAGGCCCATGATCACTCTGGATGAACTGCAGAGATCTACAGCTGAGGTGGGAGAGTCTGTCCATAGGACAACAATCAGTCGTACACTGCACAAATCTGGCCTTTATGGAAGAGAGGCAAGAAGAAAGCCATTTCTCAAAGATATCCATAAAAAGTGTTGTTTAAAGTTTGCCACAAGCACCTGGGAGACACACCAAACATGTGGAAGAAGGTGCTCTGGTCAGATGAAACCAAAATCCAACTGTTTGGCCACAATGCAAAACAATATGTTTGGTGTAAAAGCAACACAGCTCATCACCCTGAACACACCATCCACACTGTCAAACATGGTGGTGGCAGCATCATGGTTTGGGCCTGCTTTTCATCACCAGGGACAGGGAAGGTAGTCAGAATTGATGGGAAGATGGATGGGGCCAAATACAGGACCATTCTGGAAGAAAACCTGTTTGAGTCTGCAAGAGACCTGAGACTGGGACGGAGATTTATCTTCCAACAAGACAATGATCCAAAACATAAAGCCAAATCTACAATGGAATGGTTCACAAATAAACGTATCCAGGTGTTGGAATGGCCAAGTCAAAGTCCAGACCTGAATCCAACCGAGAATCAGTGGATAGATCTGAAGACTGCTGTTCACAAACGCTCTCCATCCAACCTCACTGAGCTCGAGCTGTTTTGCAAAGAAGAATGGGCAAGAATTTTCATCTCTCCATGTGCAAAACTGATAGAGACAAACCCCAAGAGACTTGCAGCTGGAACTGCAGCAAAAGGCGGCGCTACAAAGTATTAACGCAAGGGGGCCGAATAATATTGCACGCCCCACTTTTCAGTTTTTTTTGTTAAAAAAAATTAACACATCCAATAAATTTCATTCCACTTCACGATTGTGTCCCACTTGTTGTTGATTCTTCACAAAAAAATTAAATTTAACATCTTTGTTTGAAGCCTGAAATGTGGCAAAAGGTTGAAAAGTTCAAGGGGGCCGAGTACTTTCGCAAGGCACTGTACCTGCATTTACTTTTGTACAGATGAACATGTGGTACTTCCTGTTTATCACTCTTGTATTTAGCTGCTCATGAGGTCAGCCACCGGCCTTTATCCATCTTTTACATTTTTCCAAACTCCGTTTAGGTTTTGGAAATGGAATAAACTGTATTACACCCTCTAAACACTCAGTGTAACATGTGTCTGAATTACATGTTCCCCAATGATGTTTTAATAACGAAATCACTACGACCTCAAAGCGTTTGTAATTCAAAATCACAACAATTTTTTTTGAAGAAAAAGGGGTGCAGTTCCTGTAGATAAGGGGGCATTTTACTTCAGGACAAACTGTGATTGCTGATTGGTCAGTTGCTGACAAGCCTGTTAGATTGATGGATGGTGCCATGTCAATTGAAGAACCATTCTCCTTGAAGTTCTTAATGATTCGATAAGTGGTTGAATACCAATTGCCATCATAAGAACTGGGGCAGCAAACTGGGGCAGCAAACTTTGTAAAAACCAAAACTTGTACCATTCTTAACACTTTTGGCCACAACTTTGGTCTGAGTCAGTCTCATGAAGAAAGAGCATGATGCATTTTACTTTTTTTTTTTTTTTTTTGTGGACATACCCAGTACGTAAAAGGCTGAACTCCCTCCCTTTTAGTTGTCTTGTCTATTTGCTGCTCTGGAACATATTATGGGTGTGTGTTAAAACCATGCCAAGTTGGAAAGGCATCAGCAATGACCTTAGAGAAGCAACTGGTTTGAATTACTCCATGATCATGTGAGAGACTAATAAAGTCCTACAGATAACATTTTATTTTGCATAAAATTGCAAATTCCAGGTTGTGCATCTGACTTTCAGGTTTTGCGGTATATGGCACTGAGGAATGGCAACAATGCCAACAACTTGATATTGAAACGCATTGGTTCACCCAAACCTGGTAACCCTGACAACAGACAGACTGGTGTCCTGCAGCTGGCGATCCACCCAGTCCTCCGCCTGCGGACGATGGTACTCATGTACGTCTGGTGAGTATCCTAAAGCAGCGATTGGACCAAACCTGCAAGCAAACTTATTACCACAGTTTCTGTCTGATATCTTGAGTTCTTTGTTGGATCAGAACCACTGCTGCCATTCTGTTATTGTTTTTGTCTAATACTAAATATGCTTTCAGACTGCAAAGAGAAATGAATGCCTCTTTCAGTGAAACTGCTTCTGTAGTCACTTTTCTATTCTATGTTTCAGGAGATTTATAAATGACTGGTGTTTCCTCGCTGTTACTTCCTGCTTTTGTGTTTATTTTTTAAATATTTTATTCTTAAGCAAAACTCATTTACTCTGCTACTTCTTGCTTTTACATTTGGATAGCTGTAATGTTTGGTGCAGATGTTTCCAGTTTATGGTGGTGTTTTGGTAGTCATCTTATATTCACATTGGTATAATAATACAAATGTAATGATTGATTTGTGGTCATTCTACTGACTTCAATATTTTAGAAAAACAACAAGTCACATCTAGGTAACTACAGCAGCGTTCAGAAATATAAAATTCACATCAACAAAACAAAGATTTTTAGAAGCCTTCACCATGATAAACATTTAACTCTTTCAAAAAGCATTCCAGATAGTGGGTTTAGTAAATACTCTGTTAGTTGACCCAGAGTTAAAGGAAACTTACAAGTTTTCTGTTCCAGAAAAAGGGGTAAATTACCCTGAAGCCTGAAGGTCCCCAAATGATCTAATCTCAACTCATCTTTTAAAGAGCTTTTTTTTAACCACCATTGCACATTATATTTTATAAATGGCAGCTTGGCAAATTGACATGTACCTGTGCATTTTAAAAATGCAGTGGTGACACAGTTGATTAAAAAACCCTGCCTGGACTTCACTGTACATGAAAATGTTAGGTCAGTCTCAAAGATTCCACTTTCTGACAAAATCATAGAGAAGAATGTTTTCTGCCATTTTATTTAATACTTAAAAATGAGCACAACCTGCTAGATGGTTTTCAGACTGTTTTTAAAATCTGCCACAAAACTGAGTCAGTTGAGACTATTGAGGGTTTTTGACAATATATTTTTTTATTTAACAACAAACTTTGGTTAATGGATTGTTTTGATGCTGTTGACTGCCTTCAACACTGTGGACTATCAGCTCTGCAAGGTGCTGGCCGACATTTTTATCTCCTCCCTCACCCTGGCAACATGTCCCACCTGCCTGAAGATTAACACCATCATCCCAGTTCCAAAGAGCTCTACAGTGACTGGTCTGAATGACTATCGGCCAGTGGCCCTCACACCAATAATCGCTAAATGCTTCGAAAAACTGTTCAAGACCCACATCAAAACAACCATCAACCTCAACGAGGACCCTCATCAGTATGCATACCGCGAGAATCGATCAACAGAGAACGACGACATCTCTGTGGTCCACACTGCTCTCACCCACCTGGAGCAGAAGGACTCTTATGTCCGTACGCTCTTTGTGGACTTCACGTCTGCTTTCAACACCATGATCCCCCAAACCCTGACGGACAAACTATTCGCACTAGGACTAAGCCCCTCCATTTGCAACTGGGTACTAGACTTCTTAACAAACAGACCTTTGTCTGTGAGGATCCACAACTTCTCTTCCTCCACCATAACCCTCAGCACTAGCTCCCCTGAGGGATGTGTGCTGAGCCCTCTCCTGTTCACTCTACTCGTGTATGACTGTGCACCTACCCATCCAGGCTGTCGCATTGTAACGTTTGCAGATACGGCGGTGGTGGGATGCATCACAAACACTGATGAGTTTAGCTAAAGGCAGGAGGTGGAACACCTGGAGAGCTGGTGTGAGGAGAATAACCTTCACATCAATGTGAAGAAGATGGAGATGATCGTGGACTCCAGAAAGAACAAACACACCTACAACCCCCCCCCCCCC